CCAACTGAATCATCAATGGTTCAAGAAAAAATAAAAAAGGAAATGAAATTAAAGATTTCCTAGAATTCAATGAAAACAAATATACAACATACCCAACCTTGTAGGACACTATAAAAGCAGTGTTAAGAGGAAAATTCATAGCACTAAATATCCACATAAAGAAGATGGTGAAATCTCACACTAGCAACTTAACAGTATACCTGAAACCTATAGAAAAAAAGGAAGCAAAGTCACCCAGGAGGAATAGATGACAGGAAATAATCAAATTGAGGGATGAAAACAAAAAAAAATAGAAAAAAAGAGAAAAATACCAGTAATCAATGAAACAAATTTGGATCTTTGAGATAATTTGAATAATTATGCAAATTAACCAAAAGGCAGAGAGAGAGAGAGAGAGAGAACATCCAAATTAACAAAATCAAAAATGATAAGGAAGACATAACAACAGAAAATGAGGAAATACTTCAAAAATCTGTACTTCACAAAGTTGGAAAATCTAAAAGAAATGGACAATTTTCTCAATAGATACCACATACCAAAGTTAAATCAAGACCAGATGAATAATTAAAATAGACCAATAATCCCTAAAAAGAAATAGAAATAGTCATTAAATATCTTCCAACAAAAAAAGCTCAGGACCAGATGGTTTCAGGACAGAATTCTGCCAGGTTTTTAAGAAGACCTAATAATACCAATGCTTTTCAAATTATTCCACACAGTAGAAACAGAAGGAACATTACCAAACTCTTTTATGAGGCTGCAATTACCCTGATACACAAACCACACATAGATGCAACAAAGAAAGAAAACACAAGATGAATCTCCCTCATGAACATTGATGCAAAAATACTCAATAAAATATTGCTAAATTGAACCCAAGAACACATCAAAACAATTATCCATCGTTACCAAGTAGGCTTCATCCCAGAAATGCAAGGATGGTTCAACATACAAAAATCTGTCAATGTAGTCCACCATATAAACAAAATGAAAGAAAAAAATCACATGGTTATCTCATTAGATGCAGAAAAATCTAACACTCCTTCATGTTATAGGTCCTGGAGAGATCAGGAATAAAAGGAACATACGTAAACATAATAAAGGTAATTTACAGCAAGCTGACAGCCAACACCAAATTAAATGGAGAAAAACTCAAAGGAATTCCACTAAAATCAGGAACAAGTCAAGGCTGTCCACTCTGCCAATATTTATGCAATAAATTACTTGAAGTTTTAGCTAGATCAATAAGACAACAAAAGGAGATCAAAGGGATACAAATTGGAAAGGAAGAAGTCAGACTTTGACTATTTGCAGACAATATGATAGTGTACATAAGTGACCCCAGAAATTCTACCAGAAAACTCCTACACCTGATAAACTTCTTTAGTAATGTGGCAGGATACAAGATTAACTAAAAAAAAATCAGTATTCCTCTTATATACAAATGATAAATGGGCTGGGAAAGATATCATAGAAAGATCATCCTTTATAATAGTCACAAATAATATAAAATACCATGTGGTAACTCTAACTAAACAAGTGAAAGACCTGTATGACAAGAACTTTAAGTCTCTGAAGAAAGAAATCGAGGAAAGTATCAGAAAATGGAAAGATCTCCCATGCTCATGAATAGGTAGGATTAACAGAGTAAAAATAGCAATCTTACCAAAAGCAACCTACAGATCTAATGCAATCCCCATCAAAATCCCAATATAATTTTTCAGAGATGTGGAAAGGACAATACTCAACTTCATATGGAAAAACAAAAAACACAGGATGGATAAAACAATCATGTACAATAAAGCAACCTCTGGAGGCATTACCATCCCTGACATAAAAATCTACTATAGAGCTACAGTAATAAAAAACAGCTTGATACTGGCATAAAATCTGACATGTGGACCAATGGAAATGAATTGAAGACCCTGACATTAATCAATACACCTTTGAACACCTGATTATTGATAAAGGAGCGAAAACTGTACAATGAAAAAAAAACCTGTATAATAGTGCTAGCATAACTGATGTCAACATGTAGAAGATTGCAAATAGATTCTTATCTGTCACCTTGCACAAAATTCACATCCTAGTAGATCAAAGACCTCAACATAAATTCAGTTACACTCAACTTGATAAAAGAGAAGGTAGGTCATAGTCTTGAACGCATTGGCACAGGAGACCACTTACTAAACATAACACCAGTAGCAGAGACACTGATATCAACAATTAATAAATGGGACCCCCTGAAACTGAGAAGCTTTTGTAGGGTAAAGACATGGTCAATAAGACAAAACAAAAGCCTACAGAATGGAAAAAGATCTTCACCCACCCCACATCTGAGAAAGGGTTGATTTCCAAAATATATAAAGAGTTCAAGAAACTAGACATCAAAATACCCAATAATCCTCTTTTTTTTTAAAGGGCTACAGATCTAAATAGAGAATTCTCAACAGAAGAATCTCAAATGGCTGAAGGACATTTAAGGAATTTCTCAACATACTTAGTCACCAGGAAAATGCAAATCAGAATGACACTGAGATACCATCTTACACCTCTCAGAATGGCTATGATCAGAAACACTGACAACAGCTTATGTTGGAAAGGATGCAGAGGAGGGAGTGCAAACTTGTACAGCCACATTGGAAATCAGTATGACAGTTTCTCAGAAAATTTGATTCAATCTACCTCAAGATTCAACTATACCACTCTTGGGCATATGCCCAAGGAATGCTGAATCATACCACAAGGACACATTCTCAACTATGTTCATAGCAGCATTTTTCACAATAGCCAGAACATAGAAACAACTTAGATGCTCCTCAGCTGAAGAATGGATAAAGCAAATGTGGTACATATATACAATGGAGTACTACTCAGCAGAGAAAAACAATGGCACCATGAAATTTGCAGGCAAATGAATGGAACTAGAAAATATCATCCTGAATGAGGTAACCCAGACTCAAAAGGACAAATATGGTGTGTGATCACTCATAAGTGGATACTAGATGTAAAGAAAAGGATAGCCAGACTACTACCCACAGCTCCAGAGAAGCTAGCTCACAAGGAAGACCCTAAGAGGGATAGATAGATTGCTCTGCAAAGGAGAATGGATGAGATCTACATGACCAAACTGGGGGTGAGGGGGACAGTGGAGAGTAAGGGATGGGGGATGTGACCGTAAGGGAATGAGAGGTTCAAGCTGGAACAGGGACAGAGTAGGAGAAAGGAAAGAGATACCATGATAAATGGAGACATCATGGGAATAGGAAGAAACAGGGTGGTAGGGAAGTTCCCAGGAATCCACAAGGATGACCCCACCTTAGACTATAAGCAATAGTTGAGAGTGCTCCTGAACTGGCCAGATTGGTGAATACCCTAACTGTCATCATAGAGCCTTCATCCAGTTACTGACAGAAGCAGATGCAGAGATGCACAGCTGGGCACCAGGCCAAGCTTCAGGAGTCCAATCAATGAGAGGGAGGAGGAATTCTATGAGCAAGGGACATCAAGATCGTGATGGGGAAGCATACAGAGATTACCCGGCAAAACTAGTGGAAACTCATGAACTGTGGACCAATTGCTGTGGAGTCCCCATGGGACTGGAGTAGGCCCTCTGGATAGGCAAGACAGTTGTTTAGCTTGAAATGTTTAAGGGGTCTCCTGGCAGTGGGATCAGGATCCATTCCTGGTGTGTGAGTGGGCTTTTTGGAGCATTTTTAATGTGAATGAAAAGGAAAAAGCAATCTGAAAGCCCACCTTTTGGTCCATAGATAAGCAGAATGGTATTTATGCTCACTATGGGATGCTGTTTTAACTTGGAAAAGAAATTCTTACACACACACACACACACACACACACACACACACACACACACACACACATATATATACACATATATATATGTATATATATATATATATAAACTTTATGTAATAATATTAATGGTCGTAAAGAGTACTAATGAATTCTAGAAATAGACTTCATCTATCTTCCTGAATGTGATTTTGGGCTTGAGTCAGAAGGACAATATTAATGACCTGTAACAAAAGAATAGTTAACAGTCTGCAAAATGTCACTTAAGTTAAGATAGCAAAGTACTATTAATTTCAGACATTGTGTGGCTCTTGAAGTGTATTAGTAAGAAAAGATACGAAGACACCAAGTTAGCAGTGTTCACCACTTACAGAAACTGCAAGGGAAGTTTATCAGGAAAATATAGATTAAATCTCCATGCTCAGTAGCTGCAAAGTTTTTCTATATTTTCCCCCTGAGAGTACATAATTTGGGTGATGTTTTAATGGTGTCTTTAGTAGTGCAACACAATGATTGATTTATGATTAATATTTTATCAAATTAAATAGAATGTCAGCTAAAGATATCTTCCATTGCATGATGTGGTACTAAGGGGTATACCTATTGGTTTTATAAAACAATTTATGTTTTTTGCTTTTCCTGAGGTTGGATTCAACAAAGAATCACACATCTTTTAGAACAGTGAATGCCCAAGTTGCTCTTGTATAATTCTATCCTGACGGTCTGCAGACTCAATCAGACACAGCTTCAGGGGGAAAAAATCACATTGAATTCAGCGAGCACTACCTTGAGTCTCTCTCTTCAAGGACACTGGAAGATGATTTCTACAATCATATTCAACATCAATCCTGAAAGTGGTGTTATCATAATAATACCAGGGTAGAAAGCATTGGGATACATAATTGAAAACCAGACCTGTACGTTCACATAATCGGGAAACGTAGATAACATTCCCTGACATATGAGAGCAAGAACTCAGTAGACAAAGTGAGAAGGCCCTCTAGTGTGCTATTGCATATTTAGTGTCCTCAGACAGGGACATAGCATACTGAGTGGTGTGAACACAAATTACCAACAAAACCATTGACTAGTTACAAAATAAAAGAAAATATGTTCAACTTTTCTTTAAGAAGGATTTTCACCATCAAAAGGCACAAACAGAAAATGCCAATGGAAGAGATACTTACCCCAGAATAGAAAGGCTCACCAGATACACAAAGCACATCTTGCTCCTGTAGCATCAGCAGGTCTCTAGCAAGGTGCAGTCGGACTTTAAAGGGTTCCTGATTACCATCTTGAAGCAAGCAAACCCCTGTCTTCGTCTTTAGATAAAAAAGAGCAAGAAAGAGAAAATGTTCAATTCATGGATTATAATTCTCAGAACTAATCACAGCAAAATATGATAGGTAACACTTGAGAGCTATGGGAAATGATTTCAGTGACTCACACATGATTTTACAGACATGTTAAATAATAGATAACCACTTCAAGGAATATGGAATTTTAGATAATGGAGACCATGACAGAGAGACCACCCTGAGCACAGATGGAAAGACTGAATCAAAGGTGCTGCATTACATAGAGAAATGATAAAAATAATAATTGGGCCAATAGGTGAGAAATATGCAGGTAGGCTGCACTACTGCCCCATATATCCACTAGATTCAGTAACTTTTATGACCCACTCTGCTACCCAAACCCATTGGCCCCTGTATTTCCCCCCTGACCAACCATCCTTTACAACATCAGCAGCCCCTATACAAGCAGCATCTACTCCAATTGGAAGAACAGGTGAGTGACTGGTACCCTAGCTAAACTGCCAAAATCTCCAGGTACCAAGCCCCAGGAGATATCTTATGCCCCTTCCCTTCCATCTTAGCCCCAGAAAGGCAGCTAGATGTTGTCCTTAACTCTGGTGGATCTCTGGTGCTCTGGCACAGTGCCCAGCAGCTAGCCAACAGGTGAGAGACCTGCAGGTAAGATGCATCAACACTGCCAGCACCCACTGGACTCCATAGCTACTCCAACCCTGTGGTGATATATTATATACCCCCAAATACAGTGTGATCTAATAAACTTATCTGGGGATCAGAGAACAGAGACAGCCACTAGATTAGACAGAGAAGTCAGATAGTGATGACACATACCCTTAATCCTATCATTTGAAAGTAGAGATCCATCTGGCTCTCTGTGAGTTCAAGGCCACATTGAAAACGGAGACAGGCAGTGGTGGCACATACCTTTAGTGTGGGGCGTTTACCCACCACCCCCACAGTTCCCCAGAGTTTTCTTGAGTGCGAGCAGAAGGAAATATTAGATAAAAGGATTTATTGCGGAGAATATCACAGAGATAAACAGATAGAAAATAAAGGATAGCCTTGAGAGGGCCTGGAACCTATTCCAATGGGCCCCACCAGTCTCTGCCCCAGTGTTTTTATAGAGACACCAAGGGGTGGATCAAAAGACCTTCTCCCCCAACACAGCCAAGTGCAGACCATCTCAGACACCTGCACTCAGGCCCGTGGTCCTAATCATCCTCTATGAGAACATGCTGGGTAAAGCCATGAGGAACCCGAAAACGGGCTCCCACAGGTCCCCCTTTCTTAATATATAAAAAAACTCATTATTAATGGCTTGCAGCAATTTCCATAGCTATTACACCTCCTAGTACAGGAGTAGAGGATGATAAAGATGGCATTTCTCTTTTGAATTAGGTGCAAGGTGACTACAGCAGTCTTAGCTGCCTCAAGCCCTTTCTAAACCAAAAACTCTTAAGGCGACTACAAACTTAAAGAATCCCTTAGCTTCATCATTACCATTAACAGGTTAACATAAATATTGCTACACATAGTCACAATTCTCCCAATCTTACAACTCAAAGCAAATTCTTAACAGAACCATTTGAATTAGCATATATGGTGCTATATATAGTTAACAATTTTCTCCATCTTACAACTTTAATTCTTAATCATTTGAATTTTCTTGCTAACAGAACATAGGAAAAACTTCCATGTATTCACATCAAACTTAAATATTTCCTTAACTCCACAGAACCAGGGTGCATTAATATCATTAGGTTAAACAATTTCTGCAAACATAATTCAACCTCATAACTCCTCCTTTTCTTTATAATTTTTAAACAAAATTTCAAACTTAGTTAGAGGAACCCAAACTTGTACAATTCCTACAAACCCATATTGAAAAGCAATATTCTCAATCTAACCATTAACACTTTGAAAACTTTTAGCAAAACATCGAAAAGCAGTTTCTTAATAAAACTCTTTACACTTTAAAAGCAGTCTCTTAGTGTACCCCATTTGCATTTCTTACTAACAAAACATGACATTAATCCACTCAAACAACAATTTAAATTAAATAGACTAAGGAATATTAACTCTCCCTTTTATAATTTAAGCAAAATCTCAAGCCTAGCTATAAAACCCAAACTTCTCTGTTTAAACAGTTCCACTTGTAACACAAAACCAGTTCCATAAGTAATTCCATTTTACATAAACAGTTCCACAAAACAATTGCATTTTTAACACAGAACAATTCATTAATCACCAGCATATAAGCATACACAAAACTGCATCTTGAGTCAAGGTAGAAACAATAAATTTCTTCATTTAAACAGTTCCATTTTTAACCCAATTCTAGAAAACAGTTCCTAGGTCTAAAAAGTTCAAACAAGAAATAAATTCTGGTATCAGGCTTTCACTTCCAAATATGAAGAGACGTTTTTCAACCAAAACTTTTTGCAGTTAACAATTTTAGTTCAAACAGGCGTCTCTGCAACTTTTATTCTCAAGCCAGAGACCTTTTTAGGTACAGTAGTATTCTAAACCACACCATTTTTAATGTTAGCTCAGGTTTTTCTGTGTTGCATAGATTTTCCACGGATCTCAGCTGCAGATGCCTTGTGCTGGTTCTGGCATCCTCCATTCTTAGCTTCTTAGCGGCTTCTGGAACTTTTGAAAACCGCTCAGACTGCCTGCTTTGCAGTTTGCTAGGACACTAAGTTCTGTATCTCAGGTTTTTTCATCATATACATTAAGCATAGACTCACACTTAACATTTACACTTTTTTACAAACACATAACATTGAGACTCATATTCAACATTCACATGTTTACAAACTCACATATAACATATTAACATCTACTTATTTATACTCCTTAAGGACACTATAGAACTACTTTAGCAAATATATTTCTTATTACTTATTCATTCCATCTTATTCTTATTTAAATTTACATTTACAACTAGCATCTTTACTTCTTACAAGCTTATTACTATATGTCTTAAGACTACATTAGATACTTCTTGCAAGCTTATATTCTTAAAGGAACTCTATAGATCTATTTTACAAGCTTATATAGGACTACCATTAGCATATATTTAACTTAGCATACACCTAAAGATTTCTTAACACAGATCTAACAAGACAGAATAATTTCTACAAACTTACATATCTTATTTTCATTTTTTTCTACTTATTCTTATCACTATCTCTATTAGAAAGATTCTCTTAACTAGAGAGGAAGTATGTACATTATTTCTAAAGTTTAGAGTTTATAGTCAGCTTTGCTATAACAAACACTGGGATTTAGTGAGTGCTGTCATTATAGAGTTGTGATACTTGTTGCTAGGGGACTGTAACATTCTTGGGATGAAGCCACACCCCAAAGTGGCCAAGCCAAGTTCTCTCAGCCATTCCTGAACTGGCAGAGATGCACTGTCAGCGGTAAACGGTTTTTAACTAGAGGCTGTCCCTTCACCCCAATTCATAATAGCTCCCCTAAGAACTTCAATTCAGACAAACGTTTCTATTACAGCAGTACTTTTGGTTTGTTCTACAGAAAAACTTCACTTCACGCTGAGCGTGAAATTACTGTATTTAGCTGCTGTAAAGCTCTTCGCCAAATACTGCACAGCTATTAGGTGATATAAAGTATTTTTCTAAAGAAGCTAGTAAAGCCAAAAGCGGCACAGCTCCGAACTCTATTTCCTCACTCTTTGCATTAACCAGTGACAAAACCTCAGAAATACTAATCGAGCCACTTTCATTCTGGTTCCTCTATAGGAATGTCATTGGAGCGGACCTTCCTTAGTTCCACACTCCTTACCACCGAGCTTCATTCTCCTCTTGTGAAAAAACACAAACATGTCCTCGACCTTATATTAAAACAGGATCAGGACCCTTCCATAATCTCGAGCAGGGATCTTTCCATTTCACATTACCCTCAGTTAAAGGACCCGGAAGATTGGAGTGAGCTTCGATATGGCCCACAAAGCATGGCAGCTTTCTTTTGTGTATAGCATCTTGAATTTGTTGAAACATTTTGACTTGATTGTTGTTAGTCCAATATTTTCACCAAAACTGTTACTATTCAAAGGAGTCAAGAACATAGATGTTCTTTCATGAAACGTATCCTTCATTAGCTTACTTTGAGAAAAAGCATTTTCAGGATTTAGTATTTTCACTTCATTAGCTTTAACTCCTGATATTATTAGCAGCTGTAATATTTAGCATTGATTTCTTATAAGGAACTTTCAGGTGAAGCAACTATATTTTTAAGACAGATTTTTCTGAAGTTTGTTTCCCATCTATAAAGCAGTCATTTCTTTTTGAATGCCTGTTTCTTATCCCCTTAATTAGATTTGCAAAGGAATCACTCATTGCAGGCTGTTTGTTCAAGAGGTAAATAATTTTTAATTTCACATATGTTTCTTCATATCTAAGACAATGTTCAGTGTATAAACTGCTCTCTCTTGCTTTCTTAAGGATTTTAAAGTGGCTTGTTTTCTCTTAAAGGTAGCTTTTTGTCATCCAACTATCGTAAAAATTTGCACAGCTATTAGGGTAAATAAGGCATTTAACCAATGGAGCCCCAACTTCGAAGCACCTAGTTCTGTACTTAAACTCTTTGATGACTTTCCTCCTTATTCTTTTAAAAGCTGTATTTTAAGTTTACCATGAACATATTTTCAAGCTGACAAAAGTGTTTCAGGGCAATGTCGCCGTCTTTAATGGAAAAAACCTTTCCCAGAATGCATTTCCCTTATATCAGTCCATAATAATATCAGTCCCATATCAGTCCCTTATATCATTTTCCTTATATCATTTCCTATCAGTCATTTCCCATAGTTCTTTTCAGATCTGAGAGTCAACTGGTTCTCTTTTACCAGACTTGCTTACAAATTCTTGCCTGGGAGGTTTGAACAAAGTTTTTTGCTTTTACAAAGGGAGATTTGAACAAGCATTTTACATTTTCAGCTATGGCACATTGGGAGGTTTTTGGTCTCTCCTCAGTTGGCTTTA